CTATATCAAAACGTGAAATTTATTCATTCACTTTTATAGCTGTCACTCAAAGACATTATCCTGTGAGCAGCCAGCAGCCTCTCATTATGCAAAATCAAACAAGACAGTGGAATTGAGTTTGGTGTCCCAGAGTAACATAAGCAAATATAGCCTGACAACTCATATTGGAAGAGACTTAGGAGTCTGCCTATGCCTGGATATCAAGACAACAAAGACAATGGTTTGGGCAACTACAGGCATGAGTTATGTTGTCTGCAGAGGGTACAGAACAAACAACTTTCTAAGTCTTAAATCCACCAGATCTGAAGGAATATGAGAAAGTGATTTGGTGTGATCCTTAACGGAGATGTCCATCTGTGTGTATGGGTGTGTGTGTGTGAGAGAGAGAGAGCAAGATTGTTTTGTGTGTAAAGATTCTCAGATCCTCCTGCAGCAGAAGTCAGGAAGTCAGTTCTTGAAAAATGTAGCATCTGTTCTGCTTAGAAACAAAAGACACTTCAAAGGAAATGACTGTTTTAATCAGCTGGACAGTTATTTTTCAAGTTCTGACATAAGGCTATGCAATATATGGACCTAGATCATTCAAGCTACAGTGACAGATGACTCGTACTGTATTCTAAGGCTCTGCTGTTGTCAGACATGAATGTGGTGAGACAGTGCCCTCCCATGGAGCCAGTCTGCTCTGCTACTTCAGGTACAACACACTTGATCTGCTTTCTCTACTGTCCAGATACCAGCCTGGTGTAAGGATGAATCACAGCCAATTCTTTTAGACTATGAACTGTCCCAAAACGGTGAGAATTTAACATCTTCTTCAAAGGCCACTATCAATAGCAATATGGAAAACTAAGCTATAGAGGAAAAAGAGTATTGACAGTGTTTCATAAAGAACTTGATTTTGAGCCAATGAATGCTATAATGTATCTCTGCATCAATGTAACACTTGCCAAGGTCTTCATACTGTGCAGTAGATCATTTTAAAATATCCATAGCCATAAAATGTCACACCAGTAAGTGAATGATGACAGAGGAATTTTGAAACTATTGTACCATGAACAGCTTCATCCACTCACTCCCAGGACTCATAAATATTACTTTAAGTGCCTGAGCTAGGCTGAGCCATTTTTGTGAACATGCTAAGACAAAGAACCCAGATCTGTTACTGCCAGACTATAGGTTTTTTTTATTCTGATTCGCAGTGGCTCATGCATTTACAAAGCCATATTCCATACGACTATGATAGGCAGAAGGAGAAGTAGTTCCTACTGACTGTGTGTTATTTAGACTGTCCTGATGACAGCGTATTTATTTCTGTGTCCCCTGTTAAAGATGAAATATACATTTACCCCAAATTAGCTTACTTATTTTAGATATAGATCATTTAACATGGGAATCACTCCTAGAACAGGAAACTTTGGGATAAGAAGTATTTATTTCAGGATCGATCTGCACATCAATAGTTTACATTACTGCAGAAAAATGGCTTTTGTGAAAAATGGCCATCATTGTGTATGTGGTGCGCTATGCAGGCGCCGGTGTTGTGTGTGCAGGCGGAGTGGTTGAGTGTGGAGGTGTGTTAAATGTTGAAATATTTTGAACTTTGACCCCAGTTTTGCTGACCTTTGTTTGCTTGCCCAGTCACTGAATGAGCTAATGTGAAACTAGTTAGCCTACTTGTGCTTCTGTACAATAATATGAGATCAAATAAAGACAGACAAGTTGTGAATGCAGCGAGAGACTACCAAGATTGTTTAAAAGAAACAGTTTGCACCTCTAAAATGTAGTGATCTACTGCTAGCAACATTAGCATTGTACCTAAAAAAAAAAAAAAAAGCATTGTTTTGTACATTAAATTTAATGATGTACTGTAGCTATAAATGCTGTAGTTGCATTTAAAACTCTGAGTTTGCATGACATAACATCACTTTTACCTTTACTTTTCTGAGTTTAGCTATACTTTGGGAATGTTTGACTAAACTTAAATGAGAAAATAAGATGACATTTTTTAGTCAGGGATTTAAGAGCCTGGTAGACAATAGTGATGTCTGAAAAACCACTGAACCTCAGCTGAATTTGATAGATCTGTTTACTTTGCTCTGGTAATGTTACAACATTGAACCTACACATGCAGATTACCATTACCACCCTGCTACTACTGGTCTTGAAGGTGACAGTAGGCAAATTGAGCAGTTATTAAAAACATATTTATTATGGAGAAAACATCCTTTGATGATGTCTCAAGGTGAGAAGGAAATTAATTCTTAATGTGCCATGTTTTCCAGAAGTGACGGGCTCCTAATTATTTGATTTTAAGGACTCAACCTCATCATTCTCCCTCCAAAGTGATGTTGAATAAGTTTCAAGGACAGAATATTAAAAATGATATTTTTAGAGCAACAAGTGAAGCCTTGCATTTTGCAACCTGTATAGCCACTAAAGGCCCGATAGGCCCCCCCCCTTTTGGAAACATTTTGGTTTGTAGCTAATAGCTATCATGGTAATGAGGTGATTGTTTTAGAAAATATCATTTTAATCACAACAAAGAATGTTGACATGACAAACTTTAACGTGAGGTTCTTTTTAAAATCCAAATTTCATTGAATCCATTGTTTGTAGTTTTAACGGTTTGTGAAGTCTGTTCTTGAATTCTTCTGCTTCTGATGCAGTAGTTTGGGGTGAAATAGAAAAGTCACCAAAATGTAAAAATACACATTAGTTTTCTGCCTGTAGTTAAAAATGTCTGTGTTTTGGTAAGGAAGGGCTCATGTATCCTGTCAGAATCAATAGCTTGAAAAAGAATTATAAGATGCAAACTAGCTAACCGAAATAGGGACATTATAAAATATAGACTTGTTGACACACGTATCATGATATATATGCTGAGAGTGAAACTAGCGCATAGACTTCAGCTCAGTTTACAGATCTTGTGGATGAATATGGAGCCAACAGCTTGTGAGGTAATCAAAAAGCGGTGGATAGGAACAGTAATAATCTTTTGAATTAAAACACTTGAAAAAGGGTTAACCATCCACACTAGATAACTTCGTCTTTAGCGTCTTAATGCTGCTTGTTTCTCCCCTCAGTTTTGCATATCATTAACATGTTCCATCTCTCTTTAGGTCCACTTTCTAACTTCAGTGTTAAGTACTTGCTGCTTCTTGGACAGTCACCTGTGTTCAGAAAAGCTGCTGATGAACCAGAACAATGTGTGCAGAGACTGTTGCCTAAGGATTGTAGGCTCCACTGTGGCCCGTAAAGACCAGAGTAGCCAAGTAGCCAAAGTAATTAAGACAATCAAGATAGAGATGAGATGTGTTTTTGATTTAATAGAGATGTTCTCTCTCAATTCATTTATAAAATAGCAATTAGAAACCTTTTTCTTAAATTCAGATATTTACATATAAACAAGTAGCTGTGCAAAATTTACAAGATATTAGCAAGAAAGCATATTATTCATTTATACCAAATATTAAACCTAAGTATATACAGTAATAAAATTAGCCCATCAGCACTTTCATAAAATAACAAAAGGTATAAAGAGCTAAATTTGTATGTGCACTAAAATAAAAGTTATAAAGTGGATCTTATCTAGTTTTAGAAACCTTCCCTAAATGATAAATAGGAACGTAAAGTGCCTAACATCTGCATAGTAAATGTATTGGAATCTGAATAAGAAGTGAAATTTCTCTTTCAACCAATATGTCAGGAAGAGCTGAATTATCAACACCAGTGATTACATCATGCACAGCGCATGACACAAATAATCATTTCCAATCAGGCAAAGATAAACAAAGACAGCTAACAAAACAATAAAATGCACATCATACAACTCTGGACAAATGTTGGATAGATGAAGTTAAGATGAACAACACATTCAGATCCATATGGCTTAATCTGGTAAGAAGGCAACTCAGCAGATGACAAGACTTGTCAAGGTTATTCACTAAAAATCCCACAGGCATTAAAACTCAAAATATACTAAAATATAGTATAAATGTGCAATAAATTAAAAGCTCTGTCAAGAACTTAAAGCTGCATTAATTAAAATTTGGCACAAATTCAGATAAATCAAGTAAAAAGAAAAGTGTCCAGAAGTGTTTTTCTCCCTGCTGTGTCAACACCCCCTCACCTCCCCACCCCACGCTGCTATCATCAGGCCTTGTGTTTATTTCCTTCCTTCTGTGGCCGGTGTTGTTAAAATCTGCACCTCGCCTCTTCAACGCCCCCGCTGATCCGAGGTTATAAGATGCGTTGTCAGACCGGTATGGCTCATTTCAAACATGAAGTACTGTATGTAGGCTCCCTTTGCAGGTACAACCCTGGATGTTGTACCTATCCATGGCATGCTTTTCCTTGTTCTTTGACTTATCGACAATGTTACAGCGGTGAATTATCATCTTAGACATGATCTAAAGCTCAAAAAATGAGGTGTACATATGTTCTAGTATTTCTATGCAGAAGCTACTTGGTTTATACATGTCTCACAAACTCTTGGACGTGAGACTTTTTTCTAACAAAATTAAGTATTACGTGATATTTTGAATGGTCATAATCTCCAGGCAGTTGCACGTGCGCGTGAGGTTGCCTGACATCCACTGGTGCCATTGCAAAAGTGGAATTTTTTTGACTGCGCGTTGTTTTGTGGATATATGTGATGTTTCCAATACTCGGTGGGACTAATGTTTCTGTAAGGTTATAAAGAATTGTAAGGCTCGAGAAGTTACTGTGTCTGCATTATGCCAGTTAAAATATGGAGTTTCTCAATTACCTGCTTTGTTTAGAGCGTTACACCTCTCTTTTCATTGGTACATATACCGCTGTTTACCCATCTATGGAGGAGAAACTCAAATAAATTAATGCCGTCGCAGTTTGTGGTGCTGTCCACTTTCGACAACACCGGCAACAGAAATTGTGCACGTTCATGAACTATCCTCTCGTTTTTATGAAGAGGCTCTCTGGTTTTATCATTCTGAAAAAATTACAGACTATTTGGAGTGATGAGGAGTGCCAAGCTAATCTAGAGTAAACACTGAATGGCTGGAAATGAGCAAAATGAGCATGCCATGGGCACTTTAATATTAAAAGCATTCAAAGGACCAAAGTCTATGGGCTCTATATTCCATACAAATTGGTTTTGAAGCCGTTATTATGGCTGCGATACATGACTGCCGCAACTGTCTCCAGCTGTTGTGACCACATCGGACTTTTCATTTCAGAGACGGGGCAGGAGTGGCAGAGAGGGGTTACTGCTTGAGTTTGTTTTGAGTCTCACTTCACCCTTAACAGTCAAAAGTTAGAGGGAGAAGTTAGTTAATGCAGCTTTAAATAAACAGAGTGTTTACATTAACATGGTCAAACAGTAATTACCTTACTGTAGCAAAATCTGGTTGTTGTACCTCAATCTTGGGACCACTTCACAGAGAATTACTGCTACAACTCCAATGTCAGGGAAGTGACACTGACAAGGTTTTCACCTCTGAAGTGCTCTGTTCACTTTAAAGACATTTTTCATGTGTGTAGCATGAGTGAAGGTTGGTTGAGTGCAACTGGTCTCTGAAGAGCAAACCGAGCAGAGGTGGATTGAAATCAGGGCCAAGTTCCAATATTTGCTCTATCTCTGCAGTGAAAATACAAAAGGCCTGTGCTTGAAAAAGCTTTTAAAAGTTGACGTCTCTTCTGATAATCTTCTTCCCACAGACAGATGCCTCATCTTTCAGCAGTGGGTGATCAAAGAAAGTACCAGCAGAAAGGGTCTGAGCTGACGTCAGCTCTGTTTCCTTAATGCCACTGAGCGAGACTAGTCATTTTAAATGCAAGTGCTATTTGAGGAAGCCTTTATAGAGCAGGTGTGAGTGACTGGTCCCTCTTTCATTCTCCAGGCAGAACAACAGGTCCCTGAGGTTGACTCTGGTGATGCGCTGTCGCATAAACGGTCTGGAGCCGCTGGAGCCCCCGGCCTGGGAGGGGCCTGACGCTGAGCCCTTGAGAATGCAATAGAGCAAACACGAGAGATATTTAGGTTTTTATTGACCTCTTGTGAATATGAAAAAATTCAACATAAGCACAATTCATCTGTAGCAAATGGTTCCATATTCCTCACCTCTGCATTGGCACCTCTAACAGGAGAATCCATTTTCCGTTTCTTCCTCGGGCCAATTGCTGCCAGAGCAGTTAGGTTGGCTTCTCTCTGCCTGATCTGAGCCAGCTCCTGCTGCTGCATCTGGAATGCAATCAGTAATACGCATATTAGTCTCGCAGACAAACTCATCATAATGCTTCACAGAGAAAGCATCCATATAATCACTTATCGTAACAGATTCTTACCTCTTTGGCCTTCTGTTTCAGTCGGAGCTGCTCAGGGTCCTCTTGCCGTGACCGAGACTGCGGTAACGAGAGGACATTTTAATATTTCAGGATGGATATGTTCAAATTATTCAATGAATTGTTTTATTCATTTGCTCTGCCCTAGTTAGCATATTTGCTCTCTGACACCAGAGAAAATGTACACTAATGATGCTGACCCGAGACCTCGCTCGACTTCTTTATGCAGTTACGACAGGAAGAATCCTACGCACTGTCACTGATCCTGCAAGTCCTTGTTATCTCGTTACCTTGGCAGCCTTCAAGAGAATTTCTCTTTCCTGCTCTTCCTTCCTTTGCTTCTCCATCTGATCCAGCTGCTCGAAGAATTTCAACTGGGTTCTCACATCGCTGGCCTGTTCATACAACTCGTCCTCCTGAAGGTTGAATGAAGGAAGATGTCGCAAGCAAGGACGAAAAGATATATAAAGGTAAATTTAAACTGTGTTAAATAGCAGTGTGTCTTGCCAACTCTGAAATTACTGTAATGAATTATCACCTTGAAGGTTAGGTTCTTCTGCTGTGCCACGTGAGACATTTTTTCCAGCAGGTTTTGTAGTCGCTGCTGTGCAGCATGGGAAATGTAGCTGATCACCTCTGTTCCCAACTCGCTGACACCAAACTTCTTACCTGTCACAACAGGAGGAGTGTGGATGAAGATGTCAAGGGAGTGAGAAGGTGCCAGCCACCGAATGCAAGAACATGCTCTACATTTTTTCTCAAGTTTATGTATCTCACCGATCTCCAGCACTCGTTGAGTGAGTGAAGTGGTGGAAAGGAAGGTCTCATCTTTACAGGAATGAGTCACCATGCCAACAATCTCCGAGTTGGTTGCCATTATACGGGCGCTCTCCTCCGACAAGTTGACTCCCGCCATGGAGGCCACATCGTTGATATCATCATCATCCCTGGGGGAAATAAGTGTTGAGAGAAACACAAACACAGTAATTCCATGTACTCTCAATAGTAACCCTCAGCAGAGTTCATATATTAACGCAAACCACACAACTGCAAACTATCCCTAAAATTATTATACTGTAATTAGGATTTGAAAACTTTGGGCCCAGTTAGTGGTAGTATGGAAAATACACTTTTTGTTTATTTTGTAAGATAGCAGTTAAGCAGTATTTTAATCATTGATCATATAGGAGCTACCAGTAACCCTTTATTTAGAGGCCATTAACTATGTAGTAATATGAAGAAATTGCTAGTATATACATTAGCCAGGGAAAACAGGCAAAATTAGTTTATGAATGACCAGAAATGACTGGGAAATACTGCATAAACTTTAAAGTAGTTTGGCCAGTAATTCTGTTGTAATAATAGGCATGTGGCCACTGGCGGTACTGGTTGTTTCGTAGAAATGAACACTACAAATTTCATTGGTTATCTTTTACTTACTATTGTGTAAATTTTATGGTTAGTTGCAACATAATGAAATAAATAATATGCATTTTCACTTTAAATACTATCCAGTGACCCATTTCTATGAAATTTGTGCATATTTTCCAAATATTACATAATGACAAGTACTATGAAATATCACTGTAGTCACCTTTCTACTGCCTGTTAAATGGTTTATATGGTACAGTATGTAGTTTTCTACTATAGTATGCACTGCTGGTTTAGTGTATGAATGTGTCACAGACCTGAAGGTTCCCCCTCCTGTTTCTTTCAGCTTGTTCTTCTGAGCAGCAATGAGAGGGGCCTGACTGATTATTTGTATTCCTTTGGCCCCAGGAATCAACATCTGCTTCACTGCAGGAACTGATAGACAAATGGGGACAAACTCAAGTTCAGAGTTTTGCTGCTAACTGAGAAGAATGAAATGTAGTTGCACTTAAAATTGTCAGTATGTAGTTTAAAACATGCACTATGATATGATTTTTTTTAAGAATCATATTTGGCATCTTTGTATAAGCTGAGTATCATGCAATTACAGACAGTATCCACAAGGTGGCAGCGCTTCCATATTGTACATAGTAAATGGGTTAAACACCGCATAAACACTCATGTTTTTGTGTTTTCTGTGACTTTCTTTGGTGCATTTGTTTAGCAACCCACAACTTCCCAGGGCCGCTCTGGCGTACCAAGTAAAGAAAATAATGAAATACAACATTCAGAGCATTAGTACTGATTTTACATGAGCACAGACAAATGGTTAACTCCATAGTTTGCTCGCTGAAGAAATCAAAGTTTAAGTGACTTTTGGACACACACCTGTCTGCAGTTGTTTGACCAGCTGTGGCTGGCTCACAATGATGCGGTTGTGAGGTTGTCCTCTGAGTGTTACTGTGGGAGTCTGAGCTAGGGTCACCTGCGGCCTCACCATCACTCCTTGCTGCTGTGGCACAATCTGCGCACATTCAGAAAAATAGAATGTGAAACACAGAATAAAAGCACAGACAAAAATAGTCCAAAGTATAAGACGTAAAACCTGAAGTATAAACTTTTACAGTGTCCACTTATGTGTACATTTCAATTCAGAAACGGCTAAAAATTCCCAGTAGCAGCAAAATTACCAGTCCAGGTTTGCTGTGAGGTGTCTGAGTGAGGTTGATAACTGTGGTTTTGGTCACTGCAGTGCTGGTGGCAGAAGTGGCAGTGGTGGGGAGAGGAGGTCGCAGCACCACAGCGGTGAGGGCCTTGGAGGGTGCAGCAGCAGGCGGGGTGCTCTGCTGGATGAAGGCCTCTGAGTCTGGGGTCATCTCACGCAGCACTGGGAGACTTCTCTGCATGCAAAGGACAGACTGCATACTTAGTTTGATGAAGTCACTTAAAATTTGTTTCTACCTTTTTAAATAAAAACTATTGGACATCCCACTGGAAAAATGGTCCAGGAGCTATTTGTAATGACTACTTAGTATTTCCCAGTGTTAAATCACGAAATAGAGTGCACATAAATACATTTTTTATTTGTTTAGATTATGGTTAAACTGATTTCTTGATTTAATAATCAAAAACTAGATTAGTTCTTGTTGAGTCAGATAATGCATGTACTTCCACACTGTGCATGCAAATGGCACCATTTCCATTCATTTACAGCAGTCTTCATCTGATTTACAGTGATGACTCAGTCCAAATTCATGATTTAGCAATTAAGTGACATCTGCATGAACCGACAGCCATGACAATAACAAACTATTTCTATGTGGCAAACGCTCAACAATCACCGTCATGCACACGGTGGGTACATTTTAACCAGTGTCAGGGTTTCAACAAACACATAGTGTCGACCATTACATCTGCTTATCTGCCAGTGAGTCACTGATCTCACCTTCAGGAAAGGCACAAGGCACGGCTGCGGTGAGGAGTTGAGCTCTTGGTATAACCTACTGGTGAAATCTTCAGGCTCTATCTTTGCTTCCTGTTGTACAATAAACACAAAGGATCAGAACACAAAAAAAATATTCATTATGAAAACAGATTGAATGACAAGATTACTCCGACAGTCCAAAGACGCAGTTTAGGTTGACTCTAAATTGTCCATAGGAGTGAGTGTAGTTGGTTGTCCACATGTCAGCCCTGTTATAGACTGGCAGGGTGGACCCTGCCTCCCACCCAATGTCAGCTGGGATTGGCTGCGGCCCCATTCAGGATAAGCAGTATAGATAATGACAAGAACAGAGATGAGGGAGGACATGATGGAAAAAGACAGAAGAGGAGAGCAATGTACCAGCAGGCTCTTGACCAGCTCTTTGACCCTGGCCGTCGTCTCAGATGACTGCTTCCCACTGGATGCCAGCTTGATCAGCGTGGACAAAAAGTTTCTACATTTTTTCACATTCTCCAGTGTCTCCTGCAAGCACATACACAGAAATGGCTTTCTTTGTTAAATACATACATCATACCTGCTATAGACATGTGAAGCAGAACACAAAAATAACCTGAAACTAAGTATCTCTATTAGTCTGTTACTTTGATTTTGACCGATTAGCCAGACAAAAGCATTCAATGTTAGTACTTCTCTTACAGCTGAGACGGGTGTTGGAGTGACAGGGGTCGTCGTAGTGGCCCCAAGGGGCCCTGCCCTCTGTGTTACTGCTGTGGCTGCAGATCCAGGCTGCACTGTGGTGGGTGTTCCCAGCGGTTGTCCCGGGGTGGTGGCAGTTCCTCCCAGCATGATTGTGTTCTGTTGGAGTCAGTGAATAATGTGCAGTCATGAGATGAGATGCAGGAAAATGACAAGATCACAGTAACAGCTTTGACATGTCACAGTTTTCCAGGAGCTTAGGACATAATACTATTTTGTTTTCCAGATTTTATTTCTCCAAGAAAGAGCTACTACATACAGTGTTTGCTGTAACAGGGATCTGAACACTACCTATACAACACACACACACACTCGGGTGCCTCACAGTTCTCAGTTTCCAGTCCTAAATTACAACAGACCTTTCTTTTAAAATATTATGTACAACACATATGATGAAAACTAATTAGGTTTAGTAAAGTAATATTAGCCTTTAAGGGGACATGCATGGTAAGACTGATCAACAGAACCAGCAGGGTACTCAAAGTGAGGTAGCAAAAAAGCCAGCCAGAAAAGATGAGGAAATGAACCATGCTGGCCTTGATGCAAAAACCCAACCTTTCATTGCAGCTATCTGGCAAAACAAGTTGATCATACAATATATGAAACGGGTTCTGTGCCTGTTTTAATCAGAGTAATTAGTCCTGGCTGGTCCGGGAGAGATGCATTTAGCCCTACTTTAGGCATAGGAGTCAAAGTCTCATGTTAGCTTTCTCATTCTAGGAGGTTATTTATCCAGGATGTAGGAGAGCTGCGAAGCTGTTCCCAGAAAGTGGACAGTGATAGGACCAACATGTGCACATTCCTCAGGGATTGGAAATATAAAGAACAATTTGTTCTTCTGACTGGTTTTATTGGTGTCCTGGATTATCACATTTTTTTCGGTGCATACTGTTGGCAACCTTAACCGAAGCAAATGGCTTCTGAGCAATGCCAGACCACAGTGAGTAAAGCAGTGTTTCTGGGCTAACTGTGTGAACATTAAAAAACAAAAAGGTATTTTAATGAAACATTAAGGAAAATGGGAAACAGCACGACTGGGTTTTTTTTCCCCACAGCCAAGGAGACTGCACTTTGTCTAGAGTGCTCTGGGTGACAATTACGATGATGACACCACTAACGTCATCTGTCTCTCTGAGTCATAGGAAGTGCAGAACTAGCTGGTTTCAGAAGTGGCACGTATAAATTCTGAATGACAAGCAGAAATCTCATCTATCTGCAACCACAAAAAAACTCTTTTCAGACATGTGAAACAATTTTTATATTTGAGGCCAAGTATAAAATGTAATATGCAGCTAGTTGAATATATGGACCATACAAAGCAAGATGTTTGCATTAACTTTATCACCTCATAAGCAGAGGTTACATTAACCGCATATTTTCAGTCACTGGCAGAAATTGTTTTAATAATAATGGAAAAATCTGAAAGGCCGTTTGTTATTTTGACAGATGAGAAGACGGAGGGTGATCTAAACTAACTGAAAGTTAGGCTATTAAAGAGCATAATTATTCCTGTGGCATCGATAAACAAGGTGAAAAAAGAGGAACTGATACAGTGGATGAAGCACAACTGAGAGCACCTTGCTATCTGGGCGCTGACAGCATGCTGAAGAGCCATAGACTGGAGACCACAGAGCGTATCTGTGACCACTACAGGTGGCAGAGGAGTGCAGCTGTGCCACCACATGCAGCAGATTCCTCGTGGTGGGGAAAATCCCACGTTCAGAGCAACTTCTAATCACTTCCCAAGAAAAATGTTCCCCGACTTCAAACCTTTGGCTAAAGTAGAGCTGGCAAGTCCGGTGCGGCAGCAGAGTGCAGGTTCGGCTTTCGGATCAAAATTATAAGTGCTGTGATAAAACCTAGTGACAATCACCTCTACAGCAGGCCAGCTGAGTCCAGTTCAGTTAGCTGAACGTCTTGTAAATGGGTTGATCTATATTTTAATGGCATCTGTCTAATTTTGTAAAATCAGTTTTCATATTTGCTTGTTAACACACAATGGCCACAGTGTTTTTAGTGGCTTCTGTTGTCACTGGTGGTATTGATCTGGAACATAGCTGCACATTAACTTGTTCTGTATATTAATTATTAAAAATGAAATGAAAATCAAATCCCATTAAATATGTCTTATAAAAAGTTCAAATTAAACTGACAGGTAATATTAAATTATGACAATGAGAAAGTCTAGCGTGACCTCTGCTCATACGTGTTCAGCACTGGCAGACCCTTTGTGATGTAATGGAACTATGTAATTCACTCAAAATCAGTTGCCATTCTTTGTGGTGAATGACACACACTCAGTTGGCATCTGGTGCTTGATAACTTTATACACTGCACAGAGAATGATGTACCCAAAGGGGATGTGTGGAGGAGTTACCTGCAGTACAGGAGGCCTCTGCAGCACAGTGGTGGCCGTCACAGTACTTTGGACTGTAGAGCCCTGTTTGATAATGGTGGTGGGGGTAACCGGACGAGCCAGCAGCGATGCGCCTGGAGTCTGAGGAACAGCAGAGGACATGAAAAAACAAACAAAATTTGCACACTTTGGGAACAGCAGAGGACATGAAAAAACAAAATTTGCACACTTTGTTGTATATTTAGGTGGATAAGAGATTTCAGTTTTTGACAACACAGTAAAGCAGTCAGAGTACTGAATTCTTCATGAAGCCACTGCATGGTGCCTTTAATGCCCAAACAATGAAGGAAAAAGGCAGTTCTCCTTTTATCCCCACTAACTTCTCCATTCTGGGGATTTCTTTTGTTTTCTTCACTCATTTTAAAGTTTGATGCAAAACTCACAAAGTCAACTCTGAGAATGGGTTTGTTGGTCATTTACCATGCAAGTGAAACCTCTAAGTCACATGTAATTAAAGTAGGTATTTGTGTTTACAGGTGTACACTGTCATTGTATTGGGATGCCTAAACAATGTATTGCTCCATATCAGTACTGTCCCAGTATTATGGATGCACCCATCCCACTTCTCTGCTGATACCTAAACTCAGGGTTTCAGCTCATATGATTACTGCATACTTCACATCGTGGAACTGATAGGGATCATCCAACAGTGACAAAGAAAACGTATTTCAAGTGCATCAGTTCATCTGGTCAATACCCGATCTGGTAAATAAAGTCATGTAAATAGTGAGTCAGTATATCCGATCTGTGCCTGTGTGTCTAGCAGTCCTGGTACCTGTAGAGAAGTAATCTGGACGGGTGGAGTGCTGGTGGGGGCTGCAGGTCGTGGTGTCATGGCGCTCTGGGACTGTGACTGAGCCTGTATCTGAGCTAAGGTCTGCTGGTGAATCATCAACAGTTGCCCAGTCTCACTTCGAACCAAGACCATGCCTGCAAGAGGCAAACGTCAGGGGATTAATACGTCTAAGGTCATGGCTTTTCTCTCCTGGTTGGTTTCACCAATATACTGTGCATGGAGTTGTGTGCGCTACTTATCTGTAGGTAACAATGGCTGTTATTTCAGTCTATGTATGGAAATTATCAGTTGGCCAGCAACTGGTCAGAACAAAATGAGCAACAAGCATGGATGGATATATAATGCAAATTTTTTTAAAGCCAAGCATTCTCATCTTGGTAAAGCTTTTTCCCCTCTTTCCACCAATACTTTATTGAATGCTGTGGCTTTTTTGTTTTCATTAGGTTCATTCTGTCCTTGTAAATCACTGATTACAACCCAGTATTCTTATGTTCTTCCTTTATATATACTGTATATGGTTCTTATTATTAACATAGGCCAGTGCATTGCTGTGCACTGGAGCCTGGTGTTATATACTCCCCATCCAAAAGGTAGTACCAATTTACAGAGACTAGACAGAAGAATTAAGTAGCAAATCTAAAATTTGGTGTGCTCAGTTGTAGATGGATGTTGTTGTTAAATCCTCATTTTGTTGTAACTTATTATGCTCTGACAAGTCGCTCTCTGGCTGATGTAGCTCTAAACACTGGCCTCCCAACCGGAGCTAATTTACTGTACATGTAATGTTGCTTCTGCACTTGAGCAGTTCATACTGTCTTCTGGCAGAGAACGTCTGAATGAGCTCTTTAGTAAACTGGGGGTAAAGTCTAAATATGTCAGTGAAAACACTGAAGTAGTCATAGTAGACATAGTCAGAGGCAAACAGTGTAATCATCTGCCTTTACAGACTGTGTGAAACACACATGCACAGGATAGCTACTTAGGGATGCACAGTAAACAGTTGTGGGTATGAAAACAGTTGTCTGCTGTCTGTGACAAGACAAAGTAATAATCGCAACAAAATGTTAGTTTGATACACTACACGAGGAATACACTGTGTGTTAGTTGGCTGCCCTTTAGGCTTTCAGTAACCTGATCCGTGGCTTGGGGCCCAAAAGACAATCAGTGCTGTATCCTAGCTGTTCCCACAAGAAAAGCTAAGACGTGTACAAATTAAACAAAGGTGCATTTGTATTTGATAGCAGCCCGTTTCTGACAAAGTGATTGCAAGAGGCAACACTGTTTCACAACTAACTTGTTAAAGAAAATGTCCAGGTGCTATTGAACTGTAAACTCTATAAGTTACCTGCAGGGAGCTGAATGTTTTGGATATTTGGGGCGTTTGGCTGGGACTGAGTAGGTCGAGGGGCCAACACCTGTTGAGCAATAGGTCGTATTCCACCAGGAGGAGTGGCAGCCAGTGCTGGTACTGAAGTCCTCGAGTTCTGCAAAACAGTCGGGCTCCTTATCGTCGCTGTTGTCCCTGTCGAAGCGGTGGAAGCCACGACTTGTGCACCGGACTGCACTGTAGTTTTTGTGGAGTCGAGTTTGTTGATAAGTGAGCCAGTCGTGCAGATAACATTGACGGCTGGTGATGTTAAGACTGTGGTCGGGATGCCTCCGCTTTGCGAGGTGCTAACGGGAGTTTGCATAGGTGGCCTCACAAGTGTGACTGTGGGTACACTTTTCACCGAGGGCTGGCAGGAAATCACAGTAGAAGTCACAGTATTTTGCGCATTCGTCGCAGAAGTTCGGATGATAGTACTGGATGTTGTAGACAGAACCGCTGCACTGCCTTTACTCACAGAAACAGGTCCGTTGTTGATAAGTGTGACAGCGGATTGTGAGTTGTTGCCGCTGCTGTCAACAGACGCGACTCCGGGGATGTGACAGTTCATCACCACGGCGCTTCCATTCAAAGTTTGAACACCAGTCGTTCCAGGCGTCCCAACACCAGAAGTTGCATCTACGTCCCCCGGTGTGGACTGGCTCTGAGCGACTGTCATGCTCGGTCCCGCCGTCGATGGGGTCCCGGCTGCTTCATCCATACTTGAATTGTGGAACCCCGTACTGTTAATGACACCTCCTTGAACTCCCGTTCCTACAGCACCGGAAACACATGAAAAACAAGGGGGTGTCGAGCAACTCCGATTCGTATTAGTTTCGGGACATATAAAAGTCACGTCAACTTAGCTACACTGAGTTGAACAACGTGACAAAAATTGGCTAATGTTAGCTAACCGGAGTGGGCAGCTATCTTACCTGCTTTAGCAAGATCTTGTTGTGAAAGTCCCATTTTTCTACTCTGAACATTGGAATTACTACGTGCTGCTAAGTTGCCGACGTGATTTGCTGCAGACTGGATCCCGATTGTTGTGTTTACGTGACCTGCTGCTGTTAGCTCAGACTCCAGAGATCCGACTAGATCACTAACTACTTTTTCGTCTACCTCTGTGCTGAAGAAAACATCATCCAACAAATCGGAGCCCGCCGCCATCTTTGTCTAGCTACGCTCGATCGTGGAACGCATGCGCCGATTGGATGTACCAACTGTGACGTGGCTTCATCAGGTTCTGTGATTGGTTCCTTGTAGAAAATAAAGGTTGGAACAAATGGTTGCGAGCTTCAGTTTAGTGCTAAATCCGTAGTACACCTACGGAGCAGAACAGTAATACCACCGAGCGCGCTCCCCATGCTGGGACTTTATCACATTGGGGGAACTCTCATGGAGAGTTTCAGTTTGTGTCTTTGAAGATTTATCAACAATATCGAAGCATTTTGTACCCATTCGAGTTTACGGTAGACGAATCAAAATGGCTGCGTTGTTGCTATTTCACCACGGGACCCACAGCAGCTGCCTGAGCGCTCTTAGAGAGACATCAATGATGTTTGGTTATCTGGATGTCAAACTCTAAAGAGCACAGGTTAACAGTTGACAGTTTATACGTGGTTGTGCAACATGCTCAGGCTTTTTCACGCTACAGGGGTACATATATACGTGGAAACCTCTTATGTTATCAAAATAAATGTATATCAGAACAAAATATCAACAATAACACACTGTCCGGTTACCACAACTGTAAGTTAATATCCAACATAAGTCAAATGACAAATTAAGCAGTTATATGGACTGTCAATCAATTAGGGGCTGCCTCATTGCCAGGTGCGTTTAAGCCAATCAGTGGGCGTGATTTTAAGTCACCTGTGGGCGCCTATAAATGGTTTCCGGTCAGAGAAGTGCTTGAATGCTGGCACATGATGCGAGTTCTTATAGATTTTTCTATGCAACTGGCTGCTATAGTCTCTAGCTATGAGTTCTGCAAAGCCATACATTGGCTGTAAAATAGGATTAATTTCAAAAGCACAAAATCGTTATGAGGGTATATTGTATACAATTGATAAACTGAACTCAACAGTAGTACTAGCAAAAGGTGAGTGCTGTAAGCATGTGCTTTTCAGTGTGTCAAGAAATAAGCTGCTTTTTTTGCTGAGTTTTTGTAAGATTGCAGCATTGAAACATGAATGTCATTATCTTTAATAAACTTTTTTTTCTAGTCAGGTGTCTTGGAACAGAGGGACGCCCCACTGACAGACCAACACACCCCAAAGATGATGTCTATGAGTACATCACTTTCCGGGGAAGTGACATAAAGGACATCACGTTGTGTGAGCCTCCAAGATCTCACCATGGCCTACCCCCGGATCCTGCCATAATAATGGTACAGCATATCAGAAGTGCATAACTCAAAGCTCACAGCTAGAGAATGTGCAAGCTCTCTAAAAAAAAAAAAATCATAAATTTCTTCAAGTATATGAAAACCCAGATAATGTGAGTTAAACTGTTTAAACATCAAATTTCAGTCATCCAGTTGCTGCCCTTCAAGTGTCTACTCAAGTCTTCAACCACTTAGTCCTTTAAAGACGTCCCCCTACAACCAGCTTGCTGCCAGCTCTCTGCTTAATCAGCAATGTAATGCAACTCTTGGCCTTGGTAAGTCAATAAGCACAAATGTATTCCTTGTAAACTGACCATAAATCCACAACCTTAGTTTAACCAATTTACCTTTAAGTAGATAGTTTACATGTTTGTGTTCTTTATGCAGGGCCTTTACTTCCAGGCTTGCATGCCAGAAGGGGCCCCATGGTGGAAAAGGCTGTTCAAACCCTCAGTGTGGACAGGTCTATGCAGAGAAGAGATTTGACTCCATTCCAGGAGCAGCAGCAGCAGTGGGAGAGGAAGAGGGCCCCCCAGAGGGCCAGAGGAGAGGGTTCCCAGACCGGATGCGGCAGTGGAACCACCCGTAAGCATGTAGAACTGCAAAGATGAGACAAAATAAGATACTGTGTTCATTGACCTAATAAGTGAAAGAACTTGGATGGTTTAAAAGTTTTGAGCCATTTTATGTGGACTTAAATGTCTGTGTGTGCAATTGTAAAGAATATTTTCTTTTCAAATTTAAGTGAAGTCAGGTCCAGGTGTGTCCAGTGTTCAACAGGAAACCCGGCAGCAGAATGATGAAATCAGGCCACCACTCGGAAGAAGACAAGGTTAACAAACATTTTTGTAAAAGCGTGAAAATTATCTTGTCACACATAACGGAAGAAATTCCAATTAATATCCAACATGCTTTTTTAAATAATTGATCCTAGGACCTCGGAGGCGCAGGAACCGTCGTAGAGGCCAGTTCATGCTGGCTACTGCTCCATCTGCCACCCTTAAGTTTGACACAGACTTTGATTTTGATTCCTCAAATGCACAGTTCATTAAGGAAGAGCTGGAGAGGGAAGGGCAGGACAGAATGAATGTGAAAGGTTGGTTCATCATATCAAATGATCAGACCATATTCATCTTTGGCTCTATTGATGCTAAAATCATAATGTCTCACTAAGCCATACTGTGACATCCTACAGCATGCATTTATTAATACAGCGCTGCAAATAATCGCTAAATCCCTTAAACTGTGGTTGGTGGCTTAGCAGCATCAGCAAGGTTGATTCTGGCACCAGGATTTGGTCAACATAGAGGCAGTGTTTCACAGCACTTTTCATAATTGTTCCTTTCCATATACGTGCAAAGATTTGTTTCCATTTTGGCACAGGTGCTTGTAACTTAAACAGAAACTAGTTTGAATTTAGAAGTGTCAGAATGAGACTCCAGATACAAATGTATGCTGTTACTCAGTATGCATTATCAAGTGTGGGGTTTCAGTTAAATCACTGAGTTAGCCATTTAAGACCCATTCACCTCACTTGGTCTTAGCATATTCCTCCAGGGCATTTGTGTTTTATTCTGCAGATGGAACTCAAAAAGCCAAAGAAAAAGAGGAATTGCAATCAACCACAAAAGAAGATTTTGGACCAAAATTCTACTACAACAAAGCAAAGTCTTTCTTTGACAACATTTCATCTGATAATAATTTCAGGTAAATGAATAACTCTTCCTCCATATTTGAAGGCTTGTTTCTCCTGTATGTAGAATTAGTATTATGCTTCCTTTTTATCTTTATGCAGATGATCTTCAAATTTATTGTTCTTTTAATGATTCAGAGTTTCACCTATTAGCGATATTATTAGAGTGCTTGTCGTCCATTAAGATCTGGCTCAACAATAATTATCTTTGCATAAATTCTAACAAGACTGACACTTATTGTGGCACCTGATAATACTAAGATTGCCGGAATTAAACAACACCTTGGTTTGTTGGGCTCTTCTGTCCAGTTGCGCCTTCGAAGCCTTGGTGTTGTGTTGGACCAGGCAATGTCCTTTGACTGTCATATAAGACAGTTAGTCAGGAATTGTTTCTTTCATTTGAGAAATATATCTAAATGAAGGGAGATTTTATCTAAGGGAGATCTTGAGATAATTATTCATGCTTTTGTTTCTTCACACATTGATTATTGTAATTCTCTTTTTACCTGTTGTAATAAGTCCATTTTAAATCGTCTTCAGATTGTCCAGAATGCAGCTGCGAGGCTCCTGACAGGAACCTCTAGAACAGCTCATATCACTCCAGTCTTGTATTCGCTCCATTGGTTACCAGTCAAAGCTAGAATCGATTTTAAAATCTTAGTGCTGACATTTAGAGCACTATATGGGCAGGTGCCTCAGTACATTATCGATCTGCTGACCCCATACTCCCCCAAACGTACTCTTCCTTCTGTAAACCAACCTCTTTTGGTGGTCCCCAAAACTCGTTTTAAATCTCGGGGGGGACCTGTCTTTTCAGGTCGTAACTCCAAGTCTGTGGAATGCCCTACCCTTGACTCTACGTATGACTGATTCTATTGATGATTTTAAAAAAACAGCTGAAGTCACATTTATTTAGACGGTTTTTTAATTGATTGGGTTTATTCATTTTATAAATTGTGTTGTGCTATGTGAGTACTTTTAGGCTTATGTATATTATTTATTTCTTTTTATCTTTTGACTTTGTGAAGCACTTTGTGACCTTGTCTGTGAAAGGTGCTATATAAACAAAATTTACTTACTTATGTCATACACCGGTTTCAGACTAACGTGGGCAGATGAGCGAAAACGCAATCTTGAGACTTTTGGGGTCACTGGACGGTTTCTGAGGGGACAGGGCTTCAGGGGCAGATATGCTGGACGAAGAGGACGAGGTGCTGCTCAAACTATACCTTCTTACAGAACCAGGCGTGGGCAGCTGTAATTAAAAAGCCCCCCCCCCCCACCTCCAACAATTCTTCTTTATGTATCACAAATAGTTGTCATCATGATTAGCAAACACAGCTCTGTCTGCACTGTATAAGGATCTTTTTGTTTGCTTTTTCCCTGAGGCAGTTATCCTGCACCTGGATTGTCTGAATTTTATTTGGCCCAATTCTGAATATGAACATGTGGCCCACTGTATGTGACAGGTTTTTTTTGTTTGTTTTGTTTTTTTTTTATCCTACAGAATATTTGCATGTTTTTCTATTAAATTGGAAGTTTAATTTTTGTTTTTTGCTACTTGAGGAATTGCTCTCCTGAATATATTGGTTCATGTTTAGAAGTATCTGCCTTTGTCTTTTGGGAGTACTTATTAAAATTTGTACATGGACACATTTGTGTTAACTGTAAATATCAACTTAAATGTTTAAATACATTTTAAGTTACTCGGTGCTTGCTTCTTACAGTGAAGCAACAAGTGAAAATGTAAATAAACGTGAAATTACTTGTGCACTTCTCTTCATGTTCTCTGAGGATGCATCACATATTTTCGTTAGTCTGTGACATGTGCAGATGTGATCATAATGCATGTAAACCCTGGGTTCGAGCATCTAGCTGTCACTCGGCACAGCTTCCGTGTTTATCAGCCTAACAGTTGCCTGTGTTTTCAACACACTGCAAACGAAGTCAAATTATGTGAACAACAAATGCTGGATATGACGCTTGATATGAGAGCTTTGCAGGCGGCCATGACTTGGAGGAGCCTAGGATGCTCGACGGAGCTCAGGTGTATGGTAGTATTGTTACAAACAGCGTGTAGCCTACGACGTGGACCGATTGGCTTTCATGAATCAAACGATACGCCGTCTACAGCGATGGTGAAGTGGTAGGCTACTCATGCCCGGGCTGTACCAAACGCCGAGGGAGAGGGATTTTCCCCCCATCGCAGAACAGTTTTTCAGCGTGTCACTGTTGGAACGCAGACCATAAATAATACTTCTAGAAAAATCTCATGTTTAACTAGTTCAAGAGAAATCCAGTTTCTTCTCTGTCTCCTTTCTGGCCGACAGAGAGCTGGCATTGTCGGTACCCCTATTTTCTGCTAATGGAGAAACTATGTAACCAAATAGAGGGCAGCGCTCAAGATAATAAATATTGGAATGAAAGAAGCGCTTTATTCCCCATATGACAAAATGTCGGTGGCATTTTCATCGGCGCGCCCCAGGAGTAAAGGGGAGGTAACACAGCAAACTATTCAAAAGGTAAAAATCTTGATGCAGAGCTGCGTTTGGGATTAAAACGTTGCAGTGTGGATGGGAGTGTGCGGTCCGCCGCTAGTGCGGGGATAAGTACAGCCTGTGGTGACTATCAGAAGGAATGGCAATCGGGCTTGCGACGTTACAGTCAGCTGAAGGTCCGGACTAAACAAAGCCATGACGGTGATGTAGGCGACCGCTTCACGGGGTCAACACCAGTTGTGTCTCAGCCTGCGTGTATTGCCGTTTTTCTCGGTGCTTTTCCCCGACGAATCATAAATATTTTGTATGTGAAATAGCAGCTTTGACTTGTTTCTATGAATTTTAAAGCTGAGTTGTATTCGTTATATACCTGTTCCTTGGTAGACAGCGTCTCCTTAAGTTTATTTGGTTATTATGGATAGCCGCTTTGTTTATATTCTGTGTAGAAAGGTGGGGTGGTGTAGGATGGAGACACAGCCACTGAGCCACACAGGACAACCCTGAGCCCGTTTCTCTTGCTCCTCACACTGCTGCTGCTTTCATCCGTGACTGAACAGTTTTATACGGATTGTTTCTGGTGAAAACGCACTACACGTCTCTAAACAGTTCTTTTAAACAATGTCCTAAATAAAGATAAGAAGCTGCTGCTTCATTTGCATTCGTTTTGAAATAAAAGAAACAAAATGACCCAGAACATGTTTCCAGGTTGACTGACGTTCTGAGAATCCAGGACAACATCCTTCTCATGTCTTAATAGGACATTTCTGTGTAGGTTATAACGTAACATTCACTTTAATCTGAGTGAACTGAAGTTTTGTTGTCTCCCTAAGATGCTGGATGAAAATCATCATTTAATACAATGTATAATGGATTACCAAAGCAAAGGCAAAACAGCTGAATGCACACAGTAAGTGTTCTTTTATTCTTCCTACCACTTCCTTTTAAAGTGTGTATTAAAACAAACACGATTAAGGAAATCTGTTTCATTTTGACAGGTATCAGCAGATCCTGCACAGAAATCTTGTTTACTTGGCTACAATAGCAGATTCGAATCAGAATATGCAGTCACTACTACCTGCGGTGAGTCCTTCATGTGGTTTCATGCAAATGTGAAGCCTCCTGCCACCTAGAGGTTGGGTAACCTCTCCCCTAATTTTACTAAATCCTTTCTGAGATGTTCTAGGGTACTAAAGCAAGATTCTTACATATGGCATAAAAGTGGACAATTCAGTTGAAACTGAATTAATATGAACTACAGGTTTGAAAGACAAAAATTAATGAAGACCAGCTAATATTGATGCATATATACTGTGGAGAAAAAAAACTTTGTGAACACATGGTCATTCACTTATGACTGGCAAAGCAGGCAGCTAACATGCATCTCAACCTTTAGCCTCCCACTTCCAATATGTCGCTGGGTCCTGGAGGGATGAGCCAGAGTGGAGGACATGGTCTGAGCAACCTCAACGACAACATGGCACCAGGACTGACCCCCACCTCAATGATGCAGAGCCAAATGAGCAATGGTAAGAGTTCACCTCAAATGTGCAGTAGCAGATAAATGATGCAGAGCCAAATGAGCAATGGTGAGAGTTCACCTCAAATGTGCATTTACAGTAGCAGATGAACTCTGGTCCATGTGAACATTCTTTTCCACACGAACCCAGATTTTGTGTGCCAACATACAGTTCCATCTGTATTGTCCTCCCTCCTCTGTCTTGCTTGCTTGATCCTGACTTTGCTGCACATTTGTCTGCACATACAATACCATGTCGCATCTGTCACGGTGGCTCTACTCGTTTTCTGTCTTATCGCCTGTGGTCTTATCTTCAGCTAATAGTCTGATGGATTTGATGGCAACTATTGCAGCTTTTTCTTTTTTTCTGCTTCTGATCCATTTTTGCACATATCATTAACACACATTACTCTCCCCTTATATAACCACACAAGCTTCCTGTAAAGATGAACTGAATGTGGGTCATGTTTAATATGGTATGGGACCACATGAGAATGTGTACTGGCTGCTCTGACTATGCGTGTGTGTCGTCAGGCCCCAGCCATGCCCCCATGCAGCAGCAGTCTGGTCAGGTGCAGTCGGCTATTCCCTCCACATCCCTCAGCCTTCCAGCCGGCAGCTACGGTAGCTCGGCCTCAGCCTCTGGCTACAGTCATGCTGCACCCTCCTCCCAGGGTCCTGTGCCTGGCTATGGCTCTTCCTCTTCTTCTTCCTCCACATCCTCATCCTCCTCTTCCTCTTCCCGCAGCAACCTCAACATGCAGTCCAACCAAGGTGAGCCAGATATAGAGGAAACCAATAATCAGAGATCTGTCCATTTTATAGAAAAAAAATTCCAGGCTTATGAACCAAGAACTCCAAAACCTTTTCTTTCTATAAACCACACTCTTGAAATGCAAGAAGCCTAATTTGTTATTTATTTTGATATTTGGGTATGATGCAAGATCTGGCAGTAAAATAAGAGTGAAAGGGAGTGATGAAAGTAAGGTCTTTCAAATGTTCAGTGTATAGTGGAAACTATATATGTTAAACAGTATCTTCGAATGTGTTCATGACAAATACCCCCCTGATCTTACTTTAAACATTTGCTTACATCAGGGGTGGCCAGTCCCGGTGGTGAGGGCAGGTGCTGTGCTTGTTTTCCAACTATCCCTGCCCTACCCACCACTGATTACCTGGGTCAATCAGAAGACAGGGATAGTTGGAAAACAA